TCGGCTCAGTAGATGCTGGAATCCTGAAGAAGTAGGCTCTAATGCCGGTGAAGGAATGGACTTGCCAGCAGAAGAGAGCAAGCAGGCAAAGGGCAAATGCTTCCTTCTTCCTATACTTATATAGGCTACCAGCAGAAGGTGTGGCCCAGATTAAAGGTGTGTCTTCCTACCTCAAAAGTCCATATTAGCAGTGGATCTTCCCACTTCAAATTAAGCCAAAAACATCCCTCATGGGGTGCCCCTCCCTGTTTGGGTTTTAGTTAATTCCAGATGTAGTCAAGTTGACAACCAAAAATAGCCACCACAGTGAGGAAATGGCAAAGATTCAACCCAAAAGAAAACATATGTATTGTTAAATCCACCATATATTTTAAAAGTTAGAAAGCAAGTTAACTAAAGGCACACAGCAGTTCCTACACCAAGTAGGATGCTTTCTATATTAAATAAATAGATAAATAGATACATACATACATACATACATACATACATACATACATACATACATAAATGATGTGGCTACAGATGGAAGCCATAGATGTGATTTTAAATCCTTAAAAGCAAGTGAAAATAACCAAGCCATGTTTCTAAAATATAAATATAATAAGTCACAATGTAAAAAATTTTAATGACCTGCTTTACATTCTTACTTTGAATTAAATCTTCAAAATCTAGGGTGTGTTTTACACTTACAACACATCCCAGTTTACACCAGCCACACATCAAGTGCTCAGTCGCCATATATGGCTGAGGATTACTGATTGGACAGTTCAGATCTTGAAGTACGATATAGTTGCCTCTGCACACGATATAATACAGATTGTTTTTCTCTTCTGATTCTGAAGAATCTGTGCCTTTTCTGCTGTTCTTTCAGCTCTGATCCCTGTACTTGTAAATCTCCACAGGCTGTGGTCACTAGTTACCTTCCAGCAGTTAGTGGAGAACTTCCACCCTTGTCCATGAATTGAGAGAGTAGCTCTTCCAAAGTCTTATTTACTTACTGTATTAGTTAGGGTTCTTCAAAGGAACAGAAGTGATAGAGTGTGTGTGTGTGTGTGTGTGTGTAAGGGGGATTTATTAGATTGAATTGCAGGATGTGGGTAGGGTAATCTAACAAAGCCTGTCTCATACCAGAGAGTATGGCCAGACTTGCCATTAAGAGTGAGGGCAGAGCCGGGCGTTGGTGGCGCATGCCTTTAATCCCAGCACTCGGGAGGCAGAGCCAGGCGGATCTCTGTGAGTTCGAGGCCAGCCTGGGCTACCAAGTGAGCTCCAGGAAAGGCGCAAAGCTACGCAGAGAAACCCTGTCTCGAAAAACCAAAAAAAAAAAAAAAAGAGTGAGGGCAGGAAGGCAGGAAGTTTCCTTCTTCCATATCACTTTATCTGTGCTGTCACTTGAAGGTGCTGCCCAACTTAGAGTGAGCCTTCCTGCCCCAGATAATCTAATCCAAAAAAATATCTCAAGAAAGTCCCCAGCAGCTTAGGTTTCATTGGATTCCAGATGCAATCAAGTTGAATATCGAGATCAGTGATCTCACTAACTAGTTTGTTTAGTTGTTTAGTCAGTCACATTTGTTGTGGTTCTTGGGCTTGAACTCAAGGGAAAGTCTGCCTTTTGATTTCATTTGACTAATGTGGTCATATACCTATCCTTGGCTAGCAGTAAGTACTCTACTTGTAAACAGAGTAAACCTATGTTTCTGAAAGTGGTTGGAAGGAGGTGATCTTCATTAATGTCCAGACATTTCAGTTGTCACAGTTGTGAAAGTAATAGTGAGAGGAGACTAGAGATAATGTTAAACATGGCACAGAGCAGTTGTCCTCCCACACACTCACATAATAGAGAATTATCTGTGCAGCTGGGTGGTGGCGGCACATGCCTTTATTCCCAGGACTTGGGAGGCAGAGGCAGGCAGATCTCTGTGAATTTGAAGCCAGCCTGGTCTATTGGGCTACACAAAGAAACCCTGTTTCAAAAAAAAAAAAAGATTTATCTGGCTTGGAATAGTATCAAAATTGAGAAACTACCCTAAAGTTATCATTTTAAGTCTATAATCCTAAGAATTGTTTTTAAAAAATAAGGTTCTCATTATTGGTTTAGATTTATCAGCACCTACACATTGTGAACGGGTTCATCTTCCTTTGGGTATGTAACAGAGCCTTAGACCTTAGTAGATGACCAGACCTTAGCACAACTGACTCCATGATGGGAGTACCATTCAGGCCATAAAACTCAGCACATAGGCAGTCAACCTGCCAGAATGAAAACAAAGACCTAATCCACCAACATCCATAGTTCTGAGAGAGTATCCAAATGTACTAACCTTGCTTTTTGGCTTCTGTAGTTCCACTTCTGGCTAACTGTTCTTCTTAACTGAAGTATGTGATGTGATTTTTGTGCTTAAAAACTCACCCTGAGAAAGTCTTGGGGATACACTGAGATCCCAAACACCCAGTGTAGTGGCTGGCCAGCTAGCAAAGACTTTCTATGGCTTAAACCCATGTCCAAGCAGTCTTTTCTGGTGGATACCCCACAATAGGATGTTGTGCCCAGATTAGGACCCCCAAAGAAACCACCGTAGACCAAAGATGTCCAGACTGCAATAGCAAGGTTTACTTCTCAGTGCAATACAAGCTAGCAGGGAGCCCTCATTTGCAGCGCCCGACTAATCGACGCACGACTAATCGAGGCACGGAGGAGAGTTCCTCTTTCTTGGGGACGTTAGCTTTTTGTGGGAGCCCGTTCTCGGGTTCCTCGTGGCTTTATCCAGCAGGTCCGAATAGAGGATGATCAGGACCACGGGCCTGAGTGCAGGTGTCTGAGATGGCCTGCACTTGGCTGTGCTGGGGGAGGAGGTCTTTTGCTCCACCCCTTGGTGTCTCTATAAAAACCCTGGGCCAGAGATAGTCGGGGCCCGTTGGAATAG